TTATTTGTCCTCCAAACACGACGAGTTGAGTTTTTACCAAAAAGTTATATTTTGGTTTCATCTGACCATATGACATTCTCCCAATCCTCTTCTGGATCATCCAAATGCACTCTGGCAAACTTCAGACGGGCCTGGACATGTACTGGCTTAAGCAGGGGGACACGTCTGGCACTGCAGGACTTGAGTCCCTGGCGGCGTAGTGTGTTACTGATGGTATGCTTTGTTACTTTGGTCCCAGCTCTCTGCAGGTCAATCACTAGGTCCCCCCGTGTGGTTCTGGGATTTTTGCTCACCGTTCTTGTGATCATTTTGACCCCACGGGGTGAGATCTTGCGTGGAGCCCCAGATCGAGGGAGATTATCAGTGGTCTTGTATGTCTTCCATTTCCTAATAATTGCTCCCACAGTTGATTTCTTCAAACCAAGCTGCTTACCTATTGCAGATTCAGTCTTCCCAGCCTGGTGCAGGTCTACAATTTTGTTTCTGGTGTTCTTTGACAGCTCTTTGGTCTTGGCCATAGTGGAGTTTGGAGTGTGACTGTTTGAGGTTGTGGACAGGTGTCTTTTATACTGATAACAAGTTCAAACAGGTGCCATTAATACAGGTAACGAGTGGAGGACAGAGGAGCCTCTTAAATAAGAAGTTACAGGTCTGTGAGAGCCAGAAATCTTGCTTGTTTGTAGGTGACCAAATACTTATTTTCCACCATAATTTGCAAATAAATTCATAAAAAATCCTACAATGTGATTTTCTGGATTTTTTTTCTGAATTTGTCTGTCATAGTTGACGAGTACCTATGATGAAAATTACAGGCCTCTCTCATCTTTTTAAGTGGGAGAACCTGCACAATTGGTGGCTGACTAAATACTTTTTTTCCCCACTGTACAAGCATTAGATTTTGTATTTTATTAGGATCCCCAGTTGCTGTTGCAAAAGCAGCAGCTACTCTTCCTGGGGTCCACACAAAACATGAAACATGACATAATACAGAACATTAATAGACAAGAAGAGCTCAAGGACAGAACTACATACACAAGATTAGACTAAACTAGAGCCTGCAGAACTTCCTTTTTGGAGAGTGGTGTCAAAAAAGCAGAGCATCTCTTTATTACGGACAGACCTCTCCCCAGCTTTACAACCATTGAATCTATATGTTTTGACCATGATAGTTTACAATCTAAGGTAACACCAAGTAATTTAGTCTCCTCAACTTGTTCAACAGCCACACCATTCATTACCAGATTCAGCCGAGGTCTAGAACTTAGGGAATGATTTGTACAAAATACAATGCTCTTAGTTGTAGAGATGTTCAGTACCAGTTTATTAGTGGCCACCCATTCCAAAACAGACTGCAACTCTTTGTTAAGGGTTTCAGTGACTTCATTAGCTGTGGTAGCTGATGCGTATATGGTTGAATCATCAGCATACATGGACACACATGCTAAGTTTAATGCCAGTGGCATGTCATTGGTAAAAATAGAAAAGAGTAGAGGGCCTAGAGAGCTGCCCTGTGGTACACCACACTTTACTTGTTTGACATTAGAGAAGCTTCCGTTAAAAAACACCCTTTGAGTTTTATTAGATAGATAGCTCTGAATCCACGATATGGCAGAGGTTGAAAAGCCATAACACATAAGTTTTTTCAACAACAGGTTATGGTCAATAATATCAAAGGCTGCACTGAAATCTAACAGTACAGCTCCCACAATCTTATTATCAATTTCTTTCAACCAATCATCAGTCATTTGTGTCAGTGCAGTGCATGTTGAGTGCCCTTCCCTATAAGCATGCTGAAAGTCTGTTGTTAATTTGTTTACAGAGAAATAGCATTGTATTTGGTCAAACACAATTTTTTCCAACAGTTTGCAAAGAGCTGGCAGCAAGCTTATAGGTCTGCTGTTAGAACCAGTAAAGGCCGCTTTACCATTCTTGGGTAGCGGAATTACTTTGGCTTCCCTCCAGGCCTGAGGACAAATACTTTCCTCTATGCTCAGATTAAAGATATGACAGATAGGAGTGGCTATAGAGTCAGCTACCATCCTCAGTAGCTTTCCATCTATGTTGTCAATGCCAGGTTTGTCATTATTGATCGATAACAATAATTTTTCCACCTCTCCCACACTAACTTTACAAAATTCAAACTTGCAATGCTTTTCTTTCATTATTTGTTTTTTTATGCATGAATACGATGTCTCATTGTTCATTGTTGGCATTTCCTGCCTAAGTTTTCCCACTTTGCCAATGAAATAATCATTTAAATAATTGGGAACATCAAATGGTTTTGTGATGAATAAGCCATCTGTTTCGATGAAAGATGGAGTTGAATTTGTCTTTCTGCCCATCATTTCATTTAAAGTAATCCAAAGGTTTTTTTTTCCATCATTCTTTATATCATTGATCTTGGCTTCATAATAGAGTTTCTTCTTCTTTTTGTTGAGTTTAGTCACATAATTTCTCAATTTACAGTAAGTCAACCAGTCAGACTGTCACGTCTACTCCTGCTCCTCCCCTCCGGCGTGCGACGTCGCCGGAATACTAACCACCGGCCCTGGGATTCATCATTACGCACACCTGCAGATCATTATGATTCACACCTGGACTCCATTATCTTCCTCATTACCTCCCCTTTATATGTCCCTCCCTTACGTTTAGTCCTCATTCGGTATTGTTCCTGTGTTTATGCTATATCGCCACTGTTACGCTGTCTCGTTTTATTAAACGTTTCACCTGCACCTGCTTCTCGACTCACAGTGTCATTGTTACACAGACTTATTAGCCACTCCTTTTGCCCCATCTTTTTCAACCATACAGTTTTTCTATTCCTCATCAATCCATGGAGCCTTAGCAGTTCTAATAGTCTGTTTCCTAACAGGTACATGTTTATCAATAATTGGAAGAAGCAATTTCATAAATTCATCAAGTGCAGCGTCTGGATGCTCCTTATAGATCCAAGCACTACTCCTTTTGTTGATAATTTAGCTTATCAAATCAATATTTTGGCACATAAAATGTTATTAACCCCTGTTCCTAATATCATCAATAATGTTTATAGTTTTAGAATTAGACAGCAGATGAAAGTACTTGGATAACAGAGCAGAGCGCTCTGGCCATGACAATAAGCTGAACAACAAATAGAACAACGCCCTTGACAGTGCTGGAAAGAGCCACTTGCTGGATCACGTGACCTCCAAGTTGGCAAACTGACATCATCATATGGATAATCTCTTGGAATGGTCATTGGCCAGTAGGAATTGTAAAGGTGTTTGGCCAGTGATTGACTTTACCAGTCAAATCGCCAGAGGTTCCAAGACCGTTCTATTCATTCTATTTCTATGAGGCAAGGCCCTGTAGGACAAAATAAATAGACCATCCATCTCGTTCTCTTCTGTCAGTAGCTCTATGTGCACATCATGAGACCACATCATCTTAACTATCAGTCACTATCATGTGTGAGAGACCATTGATCTGTTCAGACAGTGAGTAGCTGTTACAGTGATGTTAGTTACAGTAGCGTTTCCCAATGCTCGGGACTCCAAGGGGTGCACGTTTTGGTTTTTGCCCTAACACTACAAAACTGATTCAAATTATCAAAGCTTGATGATTAGTTGATTATTTGAATCAGCTGTGTAGTGCTAGGGAAAAATGTTTAACCCTGGGTTCCCGAGGACCGAATTTGGGAAAACCCTGTGTTACAGTGGTAACTCCACTGTAGCTCAGTTGGTAGAGCATGGCGCTTGCAACGCCAGGGTTGTGGGTTCGTTTCCCACGGGGGGGCCAGTATGAAAATGTATGCACTAACTGTAAGTCGCTCTGGATAAGAGCGTCTGCTAAATGACTAAAATGTAAATGTAACAAGTTAAAATGGTGAGTCCAATTCCTTCAGTTCCAACAGGTACTTGCTAAGCGCCTTCTCAGAGGCCCAGCACCCTACAGCCATGGAGCCCTTCAGGAGCCACTTAAGCAGTCCCACAGTCGCCCCTGGAGAGACAAGGGGAGCCAGAGTCTTGACCCCCACCCTGGGGGCCACCATTTGGGGCAGGCTGAGGGCCACACAACCCAGTGCCCCGACAGCGTTTCCCGCAAACAGACACACGGTGAGCGAGCAGGAGAGGGCTGACAACGCCAGGCAGCGTGACATCAGCATCAACTCGTCCGCTGACAGCCAATCGCAGAGCACCGGGAGGAGAGCTGAGCCAATAAGGAGGATGTTGGCTGTGGTGCGGTCTTCGCTGAGCCACAGGAAGCCGAAGGAGACCAGCGGTGGAGCCAGGACCTCGCCGACCCACTCCAGGTCCCCCTGTATAGAGGTCATGTATGGGCTGATGGAGAAAGGCAGAGTGCAGAGGCCTGAGGAGAGACCAAGCAGGAAGAAACCCACCGCTGGAGCTCTGTGGTCCTACAAGAGAAAGAGGGAGATGAGGGAACAGTCAGATTGAGGAGAAATAAGGAGTCATGAGGGGTGGAGAATGGTTTAATGGTACACAAGAGTTACACTCAAGTGCCTCACTCAAGTGAACACCAATATATCCTAAAATTACCTTGAAGAGCTGATATGCTGTGTACAGAGCAGAGACCGACAGCGTGACGTTGGAACATGCTGTGATCAACTCTGTCAGAGAGCCTGCCATTGGTCTTGACGACTGGTAAGAGAGGACTCAAATCCGAATCACCCTGTTCATTTGATGTGAAGAGATTGAATGGGATTTGTGAAAGAGAAGTTGTAAGATATCTGCAATGAAACTGTCGAATCCCATACCAAAGTTGAGAAAACACTGTTGAAAGTTAGCTAGGATACTTGTCTTACACCGTAGCAATGTGTACAGTGTTAACATTGTAAACAGCTATGTTTCAGGTTACTAGCCACGTTTATACTCTTGATGTAACCAAAGTCAAGATTGAAACTTTAAAATGTGAGCTGAAAAATATCAGTTTTCACTCAATCTTACCTCTGTCTCTGTTCCGCTTGTTTGACCACGTGAGGCAAGCAGTACCAGGATGTGGGCGTTCCCAGACGTTAAAGAACTGCGCATGCTCGGCTCGATCTTCCACCAAATTCGAACAATATGGCGGCGTTGTTGACAACAATAACAGAGGAGTGGATACGAGAGAAGCTACATCTGAATCACCACTGCCTTGGTAATATCTTTGACACTTAACTTGTAGCTTGTAAATTGGTAGCCTAGATATATGATGAGTTTGATTTTAAAAAAGTTTTATACTGCCATTAATAGCGAACTAACTCACAGAGACTATGCTCAATGCTAACGTTAGCTCGCCAGCTAAACAGTACTTTGCATTTACCTGGCAACAGGTAGCTAACTAGCTATCTAGCGAAAGATGGACAACGTTACCATGGGTCTACAACTACCCAACAACTCTACTCTGCTTGCTGGCTACTAACATTCATGACCACTTTACAGCGGATGTGAGATCACTGAGCCTCCCAGGCTCGTACAAGGAGAAAATCAGACATCTGGGAATCTCACTAAAGAACTTTGTCCGTTTGAAAACCCTGAACCTCTCCTGTAATGCACTCATCTCTGTCGAGGTGAGATGTCTCTCCACAGACAAATGTATACAGTACATGGTGAAATGGTGACTGAAGACTGAATGTGTAGATCTTCTTGTGTCCAAAATTGTACTCTAGTCCATATTATATTTACATTTACGTCATTTAGCAGACATCCACAGCGACTTACAGTTAGTGAGTGCATACATATATATATATATATATATATATATATATATATATATATATATATATATTATTTTATTTATTATATATATATTTTTTCTTCATACTGGCCCCCCATGGGAAATGAACCCACAACCCTGGCATTGCAAACGCCATGCTCTACCAACTGAGCTACATCCCTGCCGGCCATTCCCTCCCCTACCCTGGACGACGCTGGGCCAATTGTGCGCCGCCCCATGGGTCTCCCGGTCGCGGCCGGCTACGACAGAGCCTGGATTCGAACCAGGATCTCTAGTGGCACAGCCTTAGACCACTGCGCCACTCGGGAGACAATATAATAATATATTCCCCATATAGTGTGCATTATTTTGACCAGGGCTCTGGGCAAAAGTAGTTCACTCTGTAGGGAATAGGGTGACATTTGGGACACACGCTGAATGTGTAAGTCACATTTGTTTCTTTCTATGTTTGTTCATCTATAGGGGGTCCAACACTTGAAGATGCTGGAGAGGCTGAACTTGTACTACAACAGCATTCCCTCCCTTCAGGAGGTCAAAGTGCTCTGCAAGCTGACTGCTCTGAGAGAGCTGGACCTGAGGCTCAACCCTCTGGCTAAAACAGATCCACACTACCGCCTGTACTTGGTGCACGCACTGTTCAACCTTCGCAAGCTTGGTACCTATAGCTACAATATTTTCATCTTGAGTCCGATTGGCTGTCCAATGATATTGCTGTTAGATAGTTCTTCTTACCAATCTGAAATTTGACATTTGTTTTCTTATTGTGTTTTTTCCTGCAGATGACTGTCCAGTCAGGGACAGTGAGAGAAGAGTTTCAATCATGCATTTCTCCTCAGACTCTGCGCTCGGACCCCAACAGATGAGCTCCTCGGAGACAGACATCACTGACCAGAGGTACTGTACACTACAGGGTTAGACAGACATCACTGACCAGAGGTACTGTACTCTACACAGTGTTAATACATCAGCTTGCTAATGTAAGGAGGTCTTGTTTGCACACCAAGGTCTCTTGTCTTCATTAGATATTGATTTGTATTATAAAACATCAGGAAAGACAAACTTCAGATGTCATTTTTTTTAAACAAGTAAACTGTTCTTTATAAGGCATTGTTTCCAATAGTCTGTACAGTGTAACAACTGTCATATTACAGTGTTATAGATTGTATTATACAATATTCTTCTAATACTGCTATGTTGTGATGTAATAAGTGTTGGATTGGTGTCTTCCAGGAGCAGTAAGCCGAGGTTGGCCTCAGTAAATCGCCTGTCCAAGAAGCTCTCTGTCCTGGATGACAACGATGACATAGTGTTGAACCTTGTTGCTAAGAGCAACTGAGACCAAAGTGAACCTCTGTTCCTTACTGGCTCTTTCCACAATGAACCAGAGTCCCAGCTCTATCATCAGATAGACCAGAGTCCCAGCTCATCATCAGATAGACCAGAGTCCCAGCTCTATCATCAGATAGACCAGAGTCCCAGCTCTATCATCAGATAGACCAGAGTCCCAGCTCTATCATCAGATAGACCAGAGTCCCAGCTCTATCATCAGACAGATCAGAGTCCCAGCTCTATCATCAGATAGACCAGAGTCCCAGCTCTATCATCAGACAGACCAGAGTCCCAGCTCTATCATCAGATAGACCAGAGTCCCAGCTCTATCATCAGATAGACCAGAGTCCCAGCTCTATCATCAGATAGACCAGAGTCCCAGCTCTAATCATCAGATAGACCAGAGTCCCAGCTCTATCATCAGATAGACCAGAGTCCCAGCTCTATCATCAGATAGACCAGAGTCCCAGCTCTATCATCAGATAGACCAGAGTCCCAGCTCTATCATCAGATAGACCAGAGTCCCAGCTCTATCATCAGATAGACCAGAGTCCCAGCTCTATCATCAGATAGACCAGAGTCCCCATCAAACAAGCCTCTATCATCAGATAGACCAGAGTCCCAGCTCTATCATCAGATAGACCAGAGTCCCAGCTCTATCATCAGATAGACCAGAGTCCCAGCTCTATCATCAGATAGACCAGAGTCCCAGCTCTATCATCAGATAGACCAGAGTCCCAGCTCTATCATCAGATAGACCAGAGTCCCAGCTCTATCATCAGATAGACCAGAGTCCCAGCTCTATCATCAGATCAAAGATGAGTGTGAGTTTGTTGTTGTTTCATCACAGAATAGTACATACTTTTTTACATTGACAAATGACAGTATGAATTGGTATTGGAGCTTGATGTACACCATGACTGTTAGTGTAAGGAAAGTCCACCAGGGGGAGACAAGTGTTTAGATGTTCTTTAGTTTTGCCTACGAACATGGGGGATTTTGCTCATTTATGGCAATATTTCAGAGATTTACCATTAATAGATTTCATTCAGCACTTGATGAATTGCATGTTTAACTAGTTACATTCATTATGGTCTACCTCTAAAATGTGCATATGATCAGCTTGTCATTCCCAGTCCAATGGGCTACGTTTAAGAGAAGGATCTCGAAGGAAAGGTTCTTCCTCCTCCTCGTTGAAAACGTCAGAGGGCCGAGGGTAACCTTTGACCCCTGTGTAGAGAAACACAGCGGGGCTAGCTCTGGACGGGAGGGGAGGAGCGAGAGAAACTCCCCAAACACTTGAGAGTCACAGCCACTTCACCCCTCACCCTGGTGAGATCACACTGAATATCCTCTCTGAGAAATTTGGTGTCACAGCTGTCACACAAACCAGGTGGCATGAATGTCCTACAGTGGAGGCTGGAATGGAGGAAATAGAATGGCATCAAACTTGTGGAAACCATATGTTTGTATTTGATACCATTCCACTTCTTCTGCTCCAGCCATTACCACGAGTCTGTCCTCCCCAATTAAGGTGCCACCAACCTCCTGTGATATCCTAATACAATATTCAGAGTATTTTGCACTGGCTTCATCCTCCGTTAGATCAAGCAGACCAGCCTAAGTCTTCCTTAGTGAAGATCCGCCCCCCCAGTCCACGAAGTCTCTGTCCAAATAGCTCTGATGCCTCCAACCCCATCCTGCACCCTCCCAGACTGTCCTTCCATAACACCCAGCAGACAGCAGGGGGCTCCACCTCACCACAGAAACATGCCAAGCAACAGAAGGTGAGACATTTCAGAGAGAAAACCCACCTATCCCTACCGTACCATTCATTCATCCTAGAGAAAACCCACCTATCCCTACCGTACCATTCATTCATCCTAGAGAAAACCCACCTATCCCTACCGTACCATTCATTAATCCTAGAGAAAACCCACCTATCACTGCCGTACCATTCATTCATCCTAGAGAAAACCCACATATCACTACCGTACCATTCATCCTAGAGAAAACCCACCTATCCCTACCGTACCATTCATCCATCCTAGAGAAAACCCACCTATCACTACCGTACCATTCATCCTAGAGAAAACCCACCTATCCCTACCGTACCATTCATCCATCCTAGAGAAAACCCACCTATCCCTACCGTACCATTCATCCTAGAGAAAACCCACCTATCCCTACCGTACCATTCATTAATCCTAGAGAAAACCCACCTATCCCTACCGTACCATTCATTAATCCTAGAGAAAACCCACCTATCCCTACCGTACCATTCATTCATCCTAGAGAAAACCCACCTATCCCTACCGTACCATTCATCCATCCTAGATCTTACTGTTCATTATAACCAGTCATTTGTAATTGTATCAAATCTGTCTCCTAGGGAAGCTATAGGAAACCAATGGAGATGCTGCTGAGCCTAGTGGACAAGCCCTGGACAGGGGAGAGGCCACTGAACCATGACCACAACTTCCTCTGTGAGTATGAACCCCCCATGTACTGTATAGCTTACCTGCTTAATGGAGAATCTGGGTCTACTAGTATGTATCTGACCTACCTCCAGCTCAGGCATGATGGAACAAGACATCTCCAGTGGAGAAGACGAGGTCAGGACGTTGAGAGGGAACGTTGAAGAGCTGAAGGAGCAGGCAGAGATACGAGACCAAGATCACAGGACAGAGACCTATAGACTAACTACACAGCTGAAGGAAGCACACATGTCTGTTGTAAGCTTCAGACTGTTCAAAGCAGCATCTTCAATTATATTACCTCATGTTTGAAAATTGCATGAGACCCTGACTCCACAAAGAGTTGAGAATGGATGGATGGAATTATGTTCAATGTCTTTTGCTTGAATGAGCAGCTGAGGATGCTATTGGACGATAACGTCTCTCTACAGAAACAGATGATCAAATTAGAACAACAATATCTCAACTCTATGATGAAAAGTTCACCTAACACTGAGATATGTGGTGAGTGAAATAAAAGCAGCTTTTTGATATACCTGGTCACTATACCGGGCAGAGTCTGACCGTGACGTAGAGCACATGTAACCGTGACATAGAGCACATGTAACCGTGACGTAGAGCACATGTAACCGTGACATAGAGCACATGTAACCGTGACGTAGAGCACATGTAACCGTGACATAGAGCACATGTAACCGTGACATAGAGCACATGTAACCGTGACGTAGAGCACATGTAACCGTGACATAGATCACATGTAACCGTGATGTAGAGCACATGTAACCGTGACGTAGACCACATGTAACCGTGACGTAGACCACATGTAACCGTGACGTAGACCACATGTAACCGTGACATAGAGCACATGTAACCGTGACGTAGAGCACATGTAACCGTGACGTAGACCACATGTAACCGTGACGTAGACCACATGTAACCGTGACGTAGACCACATGTAACCGTGACGTAGAGCACATGTAACCGTGACGTAGAGCACATGTAACCGTGACTAGACAGCACATGTAACCGTGACGTAGAGCACATGTAACCGTGACGTAGACCACATGTAACCGTGACTTAGACACATGTAAACCGTGACGTAGACCACATGTCACCCGTGACGTAGAGCACATGTAACCGTGACGTAGAGCACGATGTAACCGTGACTAGAGCACATGTAACCGTGACGTAGAGCACATGTAACCGTGACGTAGAGCACATGTAACCGTGACGTGAGCACATGTACCGTGACGTAGAGCACATGTAACCGTGACGGTAGAAGCACATGGTAACCGTGACGTAGAGCAACATGTAACCGTGACGTAGAGCACATGTAACCGGGACAGTAGAGCGAACAATGTAACCGTGAACGTCCATGTACCCGTTACTTCGAGTTCCATGTAACCGTGACGTAGAGCACCATGTAAACCGTGACTTAGAGCACATGTAACCGTGACGTAAGCACATGTAAAACCGTGGACGTAGGAGCACATGTAACCGTGACGTAGAGCACATGTAACCGTGACGTAGACCACATGTAACCGTGACGTAGAGCACATGTAACCGTGACGTAGAGCACATGTAACCGTGACGTAGAGCACATGTAACCGTGACGTAGATCACATGTAACCGTGACGTAGAGCACATGTAACCGTGACGTAGAGCACATGTAACCGTGACGTAGATCACATGTAACCGTGACGTAGATCACATGTAACCGTGACGTAGACCACATGTAACCGTGACGTAGATCACATGTAACCGTGACGTAGATCACATGTAACCGTGACGTAGAGCACATGTAACCGTGACGTAGAGCAAGAGTGTAAGAGTAATGCAAGATGTTCCACAAATCTGATTTGATTTCAGTCTGTTATATACGTTGATGTTGCGTGTCAGTGTGCATTTGTGTTGCTGCAGCTTTAGCATCATGTGCTAACTGTGGTCCATGTGGATCTGTATTGCTGCAAGCATTATGTGCTAACTGTGGTCCATGTGGATCTGTATT